TTCGAAATTCCAGTTCGTTTAATTATGGCCGTTTTTAATGTATCGTAGGGGTTTTCTTCTGGCATTGTTTCCAGTAAGTCCGTCACTTCTTCTACAACTTCTGCTGGAAGTTTTTCTACTAAATAACAGTATCGGGATCTTTGCGAAACAATTTTCTTCGCGTTGAATATGGCCTGCATTTGTATAAACCATGATTTTATGTTGTTAGGGTTATATGCAGGTAAATTCAGGGTGGCTGTTATCAACGAAGCTTCCATACTATTTGTGTTTTGTTGTTCCATTTTTTTTTTTTAAGATACGTATATTTGTGTGTTATATTTACCAACTTTCGTGTTTTCACAAGGTAATAGTCGTGGTCATCATTTTTAATAATCCTTCTACTCGGCTTTTCGTTGAATGTTAAAATTTGGAGTGTCGGGATTCAATACATTAATAAAATATCGTTACAGGGTCGCTGGTAATTTGGCCGTCTAGAATAATCAAAAGCTTTTCATTGAAGGAATAAAATTCAGTAGAAAAGACGACGTAGTTTCAACAAATAAACATTGATTTAATATAACGATAGGAATACAAAAAGTTGATAATAGATTGGAAAGTAATGTCTTTTGTTTGGGTTGATAAAGTTCTAAAATAAAATATAAATTGGCTTTGTGTACGTATGTGAGAAACAATAAAATGTTGTGATATGTGTGTTTGTATGAAAAAGTCAACATGTGTGTGCGTGATTCATAATAAAAACGGATACGAGAGATACGAATTGTTTCTTACTGTTGGCGATGATGCCGTGATCTGGAGTTTGTCAACGTTGTCGTTTTTAACATGAGGTCATGAAGGTCATCAGCGAGAGGTGTGTGTAGTTTGGTGGCAGCCGCGTGTATATTGTTTTGGGAACGGATTTCGTATGTTTTTATACACTTTTTCCGAACAATATCGGCTCTAGAATTAAATTATTTATTTATTTCTAATTGACCCTAAGAAGTCACGTGGTATGTCTTCTACTACGTCCCTACGATATTTGGTCGGTATCTACCTAAAAATGATGATGACTAATACAACAAACATTTTGATTTGTAAACTATGATTTTATTGGTGTGTTTTAAGATGTAAGTGTTTTCTTGAGTGTGACTGGTTTATAAATATTGTAGTTGATATTTTAGTGGACATGACACTACCTTCAAGACAATCTCGATGAATTACTTGCAATCTTTGTTGCATAACACATGTCCTGGCAACCTAACCAGTACCACCTGAGATCAAGCAGAGAAGTGTCCCGTCAAGACACCTACCAAATGGAAAATAACACTCACAACCCTTGCAACAGAAAAGCTGTAGCAGTCCTGGTAGTTGGAATCAGAGATTTCTCGTTCCATCTGGGAACAAACTGAGAAATCTCTCTTCGAATTTCTACTCAAGTGAAGACATCTGTTAACTGGGAAACCCAACTTTTCTCCGCAGTACCACGATTCTGAACTCGCTTTCAACTACGAATAAAAGCTGTTAAATTTATTTTGATCCTTGAGTTTGTTCATTCCCCTCTATACACTTCTGAACGCACACATACACAAGCAAGCAGGGAAATCGCAAGAGCTTATAATAAAATGTATTATTTTACTATCTTTTTTGTGATATATTTCGTCAAGATGACTTGAATGAATGAATTCTCTCTATAGTTCTATAGCTGTAGCAGTTGTTGTTTAGTGCTTCCAATAACTAGCATATGTGTATAAAATGTTATGCATAGGTTAGTTTGCTTTGGTTTATTTTGTTTTACGGCATATCAACCACAATTGCTTATTTAATGCGAACAAAATTTCCATTTTTTCTAAAATGTATAGCTGGTAATTTTTTCAGAAATGTATAGCTGTTAATATTTTTTTAAATGTATAGTTTGGTTTGTTTTGTTTTGTGGCATATTAACCTCAATGGGTTATTTAATGCTGACAAGATTTTTATTTCTGTTAATATTTTCTTTTTTCAAATATTTATTACTGATACTAATTTTTTTTTAAAGTATTTCTGGTATTAAAATTTATTTTTACACTTTCATAGTGTTTTAAGTCAGGTTTTGGGATCAACTATTTGCCCATAGCTGGGACCCTGACAGGTGCTACCACCCCGGGTCAGGGTGGACATGGGAACACCAGGAATTAAGTGGTTGTTCAATGTTTCTCAAAACATCGTGATCAGAAGCCTTTCTGTTGGACGTAGTTTATCGTCTTCCCCAGGACGCGGACACAGTTTATCGTCATACTCAGGACGCTATGCATAGTTTAGAGTAATTAAAAAAATATATAAAATTAAAAAAATAAAAAACAAGTAAAATAAATTAATACAAATAAATAAATAAATGAACAAACGACTCCCGCCAAAATAACGGTTAGAATAGACTACCCACAATGCACCACTGACCTGTATATATAAACAGTCGAGAAAGAACTCAACACATGTAGCCTGATGATTGCTTTTAGCATCAAACAGTCTGTCACCTCTGAGTGTTGACGTCAATGTTCACTTTTATATTTGCATACGCTCTATACTCGTTACTGAGCACTTTATACCATAAATATAGCACGCCTAAAAACATATATTTCTTCACACACACACACATATATATATATATATATATATATATATATATATATGAAGAAATATATATTATATATATATGAAGAAATATAATATGTGTATTTGTGTGTGTGTGTGTGTGTGAAAAGTGTTGTCTGACGATCGCAAAAAGCGTGAAACCCAGGGTCACAAACTCTCATTAATCGAACTAAATAAATATATATATATATATATATATATATATATATATATATATATATATATACCTAGATAATCAATGAAGATATCACTGAAAGGAAAAAAAGAGCGTAACAGACTATGGCGATAGTCAATAATCAGACCAAAATAGATAGAAAAATTTATATACATAGACAGATCGAAGGAAACTGATGTAAATTTATTATAGTAAATGGATGTGTGACAACCATGTTATCCCAGGTAGATTGATAAAAGTTCCCATTAATATCCCCCAAGCCAAAGAATGTGAAGCAACGTCACTATTAAGTTATTTTAATCCTTTTGCTTGTACTCGTTTGTAGTCATCTGAAAATGCTCAATCGAAATTGACAATAATATCAAATCGAATCCCAGTTGACTATTAATTCTTGTGACGAAAAAAAGTCACGATTAGTTCCGTCTAGTATCATCTATTCTATAAATGTTACATTAATGATTTAAAGGTGATTGTTCTGATGAACGTTCCCTATGATACTTTCAAGTGTGAATTCATGTGAAGAACTAGATTGGTGACAATTTCTCGTCAAGTGAAATCGTTATATGTAAGCGTAGTTTCTATACTAATAGTTTCCTCTATCGCACTTCTTGCTTGTGGTTCTCTCTTCCGGTTTCTTGCTTCCAAGTTAAATTTGATCTTCAAAAATTTAAATGCACAGTCAATCGTTACCGTCTGTCCTCTTAATTTATTTTTCTATTATTTTCTCTTATTAACGAACGACTCTGATTCGAGTATCGAATCGTACGGCAATGTATGTATGTATGTATGAATGAATGAATGGTAAAATTCAAATGAACTGTAAAGATATGTCTTACTATGACTGCTTCACTGTGATGTTCGAATCACTTATTATTATTATTATTATTATTATTATTATTATTTCTACTACTAGTACTACTACTACTATTTGCTGTTCCATCTTTGTCAGAGATTTAAATACAAACTTACCAAGTCCACTCAGGGGTAGATTAATGAAACGGGCGCTGTAGGTGAGTTATCTGAAATGCTGATATGTCCAGAAAATGTCCGTATATGATTTTCAATACCCTTCTTTATCATACCAATAAAAAAAAAGATTTGTAGGTATCAAATAACCCATTGAGCTTGATATGCCGTAAAGCAAGACAAACGAAACCAAACAAGTCCCATCAGGGGTCTATTAATGAAAAGGTCTCTGTATGTGTGTTATCTGAAATGCTGATATGTGCAGACAATTTTCGTATATGATTTTCAATACCTTTCATCATCATACCAAATAACCCTATCGAAACAGAGATAATTGTAGTTTTAAGTTTTCACTATTTTGTGACTTCGACTTGCCGGTTTTTGTAATTTGACTGTTTTTTGAAATTATTATTTACAAGCATCGGGATTCTTAGGGCAAGTCATATCATTTTCTTGTCAGGTTACTTTTTTGTAAATCTTTTATGACTGGTCTATTTGCCTGAAATTTTCTGTGTGAAGATTGAGAAATTCCACTATATAGTCACTCCGCCACCATTTGTGACATCATTCAGGTGGTGTTTGTACCAGGTATCCGGACCGACAATAGTATTTTCATTACTATTATTATTGTTATATCATTTGAAAGACAGCAAATTCTTCTGTTACCAAACTACCAGCTATCAACAACAAATGGACTGAGGTGGCATATTTGAATCATGATTTAAGAAACTTCCGAAGTATAAGAGCAATAGCAAAAAATGCCGTCTACTGCAAATATCCAGTCGCAATTTCCTCCAGCGACTCCCAGAGATCTGTACCTATTGTTCCCAGTCCACCAACAACAATGGCGAGGACTTCCATTCTATTCATTTACCACAATTTGTACAATCTTCATATTCAAATACCATACTTTTATTGGTTTCCTTCTTCTTTGCCAAAAACTGAATTTTCTCCGGGACATGCAGAATCTATGATGATGCATGTGTTTTCTTCTTCATCCTTAACCACAATATCTGATATCCTTAACCACAATTCTAGCAATTCCTAATAATTCCCTAATGGAATTCCGAATTACTAATGAGAGGTGAAGAATGTAAACTGTAGAGATGGTGCAGAAAAAAAAGGAAAATAAGTTCTTTAAGTTTTATCGGGGGTGGAAAGAGAAAGAAAATAGAAGACTGGAGATGAGAAAGAAAGAAAGAAAGAAAGAAAGAAAATGGAAAAATAAAATATACAGAAATAAAAATTGAGAAAGTTAAAAGAAAAAGGAAGAAAGAATTGAATAAGAAAGAAAGAAAGAAAGAAAGAAAGAAAGAAAGAAAGAAAGAAAGAAAGAGAAAAGAAAGAAAGAAGGAAAAATAAAATATACAAAGGAAAATTGAGAAAGACAAAAGAAAAAGGAAAGAAAATGGAATAAGAAAGAATTAAAGAACATGCAAAAACAAAATATACAGAAAGGAAAATTTAGAAAGAAAAAAGAAAAAGGAAAGAGAATGGAATATGAAAGAATTAAAGAATGAAAGAAAGAAAAGAAAAAAAAAAGAAAAGAGAAAGAATGAAAGAAAGAACATGGAAAAAATAAAATATACAGAAAGGAAAATTGAGAAAAATAAAAGAAAAAGGAAGGAAAATAGAATAAGAAAGAAAGAAAGAAAGAAAGAAAGAAAGAAAGAAAGAAAGAAAGAAAAGAAAAGAAAAAAGAAATGAGAAAGAATGGAAGCAAGAACATGGAAAAATAAAATATGAAGAAAGGATAATTGAGAAAGATAAAGGAAAAGGGAAGGAAAATGGAATAAGAAAGAAAGAAAGAAAAAACATAGAAAAATACAGAAAGAAAATGAAATAGAAAAAGAAAGAAAGGAAACTTAAATGAGAAAGATAGAAAGAATGTTCTATTATTATTTGATATCGTCAGCAACACACAGATATTTCGACCGAGTGATGATGCTCATAAATTCATTTCTTACCCGCAGCTAAAAGACACGTCACTTTTCTCATCCTATAAGCTGTTAATGCAGTATTACCACCTGCACACTCATAATGATGTCAAGTATCCCCAGCACGTCTTGCGAGGCAGGACGATTCAGGAAAATAATCCCATGTGCGCCAACTACATAAGGTTAAATTGAGCAACTGCTCGGTATATTCCTTTCATTTTTCTTCACAGATCTTGACACCTTGTTTTTTTTTTTCACCTGTTGCGCCTACGCAATATGTACTTCTCACAAGAAACTGCAACATCTATCAGGATCCAATATTATTATTATTATTGTTGTTGTTATTGTTGTTGTTTTATTTCCGTTTGTTTCTGGTGTATAATCACCAGAGACCTAAGATCAGAAATGTCATCATGACCACTGAGCAGTTTTGAAAACCAAATCGCACATATTTTACATAGGCAAAGCCTGTCGTAAGGTGTGGGCTGTACTTGTGAGTACAATTTTTTGTATCTTCCTAAGGTATGAGCTACCAGAGATTCTTTCAATTAGTCTCTTTAAGAATCTTTTAGAATCTTTTCCAATTAATCCGAGGGCTCCAACTACAACTAGAATTGTTAATGCCCACATTTTTTAGATTTCTATTTCAAGGTCCTTGTATTTTGATAGTATTTTGAAGATCTTCAAAGATCCATTGCAGTCTACAGGGACTGCCATGTCAATAAGGAGGCACATTTTGTCTTTACGGTCTCTAATCAAGATGTCAGGGCGATTAGCTTTGATTGTCTGTGTTTATTGTAAAGTCTCATAAAATTGTGACAGGTCCTATAACACTAACCGGGTCTGGGTGATGTTCATACCAATTTCTTAGTTTCCTTTCCGTAAATGTTGTTGATTTTTCAGTGCAGATATTGGCCCACTATGTCCTAACTGGTTTTATTTAATACAAAATTTTTTAACTAACAATTTTTGGGTGCTAATAGCCAGCAAGCAACCTGATACCAGCGCCATATTTTTATTTATCCTGTTAATTTCCCTGGTTGAAACTGAACCTTTATTTCGATCGCTGGGTTAGACTGTTCTAGTTCCTGCCTTAATGTCCTCAAAGACACATAGCACAGTGGATAAAGGCGTTAGTTAGATCCAGTGACAGGACCTAAAGTGTGTGACTTCAATACCCGGTTAAGGCAGTGAAGAACTTGGAGAGGGGAATTAACAGGAGATAATTGATAACTGACACCCATTAAAACATGGCACGTGGAACTAGAACAGTCTACCCCAGTGAGCGAAATAAAGGGTTCAGTTCGACATTCCGACCACCTGAAGAAGGCTGGAATGTAAAATGGCCGAAACGTTGTAATAAAATATGGCAACAAAGATGACGACAATAGTCCGAATAATGTAAATAATGTACAAAATAACTCATCTCAGAAATATAGACAGATACTTCAGCTTCAGCTTGTAATCATGCACAACATAGCCTCTGATGGGTACGGAGTTTTTCTACATAAGATTGTTTGGTACGGACAGAGTATTGACTGTGAAGTGGTTTATCTTGTCATCCTTTCTGTATATGGTCGGTTGCATTTGCCTTTGTTGTTATTATTATTATTATTATTATTATTTGTTGTTGTGGAGTTATTTCGCAGTGGGGACTTGTATTTGTACTAAATCGGTCCTAAATAGTTCGACGTACAAAACGTTAGCAACTTGATATAATAGGTATTACGCAGAGTAATCTTGTTGTGGTCGCTGACTACTTTCGTATTCGACTAACTATCGACTATTGTCATCCAACATCGACGCTATTTAGTAACTGCCCCACGCAGTCGCATGTGGCACAAGGCCGAATTTAATGTGGGGTTCCCGAGCCCTTAGGCTCGGCCAAAAAATCCCCGTAGGCCCCGTATAAACGGGATCGGGTCTGTCTTCCCCACCGGACGAAACTCTGCCCTTCGGCATAGCCTCGTCCGGGATCCTCTCTGCCCGAAGACAGAGAGTTTGCTGTCGTCCGACATCGACTGATACTCGTTTCTCTTACTACTCCTACTTATATTAGGTGGGAGAATCTATTAAATATAGAATAGGTGTGCTTCACCATAACACCCCCTCCTAAAACTTTACTCCGTAGGAGCAAGCAGTTTTCTTTATTTATTTACAGGAAATATGAAGAAAAAACAAAAAAAAATTCATTTTTTAGCAACATCGTAGCGTATCTCCTACGTTTTGGATCCACTTTTAAATGATCAGTTGCCTTTCTTTTTCTCCTGGATCGGCGTACCTCTGGTAAAATCGTTGCAGGCGTTGTTAGATCAAACGTATGGAAAATCACCTCCATCGGCGTTTCTTCCGCGGGACCGCTGTCAACCACGTTTGAATCTGGTTAATGTGCCTTTTGCACGTGAATTTTTCGCCTTTCACCAAGTACATCCTATTGCCAATTCGCTTTTCTATTTTTTTGGTACCTCCATAGTGTTACCAGAAACAACCTTCCGCTTTGAGCTTCTTAAGGATGGAGTCACAGTTTCTGTAGGTTCTTCTTGTGGTTCTATTTGTTCAGCCTCTAGCTTCCCTTTTGTTCATCTTGTGCTTCTTAACGTTTTCTGTGGTGACTTCAGTTGACTTAAATCATTTAATAATACTGCATGTCATTGGCTGCGGGTAACTCGCTCCCCAGTTTTTCTCGGTGTCGGCTTCATCTTTACTTTCTGGGGCTTTTTTTCCCGTATACCGTCGGTGTTGCCCATGCACTATACTCAACTTTTTTAAGTACACCAATTTTCTCTAATTTGTCTAATTCTTTATCTATCTGTTCAAGTGAGGCAAACAGCACATTCCTTTTCTCTTTGAATACCGCCTGAGCGTTTTCTTTTGGCTGGAATTTTGCCTCCATCTTGGTACACGTTCACAACCCTGGAGTAAAAACAGTAGGAAATGTTCCCTTAAGTTTCTTTATTAATTTTTGGGCTTCGGTGTTTACACTTTCTACATTGTAACAGAAGGAATTTATCGGTAGATCCCATAATTAGAATTCTGTTATCTAATTCGTACCAAGTAAGTTCGTGGTATTTTCTATGACAAATAGTTTAGATTTTCGCGTTTTTTTGTTTAATGTGACGTTTGTAACAAATTCCCCAATAAATTGTATTTTTTCTCCCGTCACTGACCTCGCGATTTTCTCTGTCTTCATTAAAGGTAGTTTCCCCAACTTCTTCCACCTATGCAAATTTATGATAGATAGATCTGAACCGGTGTGGAGTTGCATTTTTATATTTTTATTACTTATTTCGAAGGTAACAAATTTTCTGGTTATTCCTTCTTTTACCTCGTTGGACTTTAATTTTCTTATTTTATTGTTTTTTTTTTTTGACCTGCAGTTCGAGCTTTTATGACCCACTCTTTTACAGTTGAAACATTTTTTATTCCTAAAATCGCAATATCTGTACCAGTGTAGTTCACCGTAGTTTTTGTTTATTTTTCTCTGGTATTTCACTTCTTGCTTGATAATCCGCAATTTTAGAATTCTTTTTGGTAGACTGACTTTCTTCTTTGTAGCGTTTTTTCATTACATGCGAAACGCTAGACTGTTCTATTTTTTTAATCTTTCTTTACGCTAACATATCTTATGCAGTCTTCTGCCAATTTCCGTACCGTAATACTTGGATCACTTTCCAATTTTGCCAGTACTAATTTTCTCAACTCTGCGTCTCTTTCTGATACCAGCCCCTGAACAAACACTAAGCACTTAAAATTGTCTGCGCTTAACTCTGCCAGCTTGAATTCTTCACAATGCTTATTCACGTTGGCTGCGTACGTTATATAGTCGTGTTCATCTTTCATCAGATTCAAACATTTTCACATTTTGTGAAACAGAGATGTCTTTTTACTAAATAATTCATCTAATATATTTACGCCTCGGTAAATGTCAACTCGCTAGTTTTTTTCGGTGAAATGTAGTTTACCAATTTTTTATGCTCAGCAGTTCCTAAATTGCTTAAAAGAAGCCTAACCTTCTTTCCTTCAGACCATGTGTGGTAGTCCTCGTTATACACGTCCGTATATTTTTTTATAATACTCCTCAAAAGTTATCTCTTCATCTGGACTGTATGTGAATATTTCAATTGAATTCCATATAGTATTCTCTGGGAAATAATCATTTTGTAGATTTTTTCTCTTTCCTCTTCTCAGTTATTTCCAGAATTTTGTTTGAAACTCCTATGCATCTGTTCCATTTTTTTTTTGGAATTGCATTTGTCTATTAAAGTTTTCCTGTAGCTGCATCTGGAATGTTTTTTTGTTGCTCTAATATTGTCATCTGTTGTTCCGACTGGAACTTAAAGAATCCAGAATATATTTTTCATTCCTTTTTGCAAAAGTTTACACAATGCCTAAATACTGTAGAGGGGGGGTCCTACGAATTTACAATTCGTGACCTATTTGAGCAAACTGTATTATCGGGGGAAACAATTTCTTACCTCAGTTGAGAATACGACAGATTTTTTTCGTCACTAAATTGACGTCTTGGCTTGCGAAAAACTTTGCCAAGTTTTTTTTAAGTGTGAATCCAAGACTTTGTCGCCGAAGTTATTGTGGCGAGCGAATTTTTTCTTCCTCCGTATGAGAGCGAATTTCGTCGCCAAAGTTATTGTGGCGAGCGAATTTTTTCTTCCTCCGTATGACTGCGAATCCCTCGTCGCCAAAGTTGTTGTGGAGTTATTTCGCCAAGGAGGCTTGTATTTGTACTAAATCGGCCCTAAATAGTTCGACGTACAAAACGTTAGGAACTTGATATAATAGGTATTACGCAGAGTAATCTTGTTGCTGTCGCTGACTACTTTCGTATTCGACTAACTGTCGACTACTGTCGTCCGACATCGACTGACCCTTGTTTCCTTTACTACTCCTACTTATATTAGGTGGGAGAGTTTATTAACTATAGAATAGGTGTGTTTCACCATAACATTATTATTATTCCATACTTGTTCATGTCCATGTCAGATACCTGGTGTTAATGACTAAAGATTAAGTGATAGTAAGTCCCTTGAAATCTGCACTAACATTTTTCAACATCTTCACAGAAAACGGGTACACCGTGGGCTTGAGTTTTTTTTCTTCGAATTATCCCTTTCAATTCTAATGTGTGTTCAACAGTTCCACATGATCTGTCTATTATGGATACGGTCCTGTTTTCTAGTGAGATTTAAGTATCTTATTTCACTTTTGTTTTCTATCATTTTCACGCTCTTGTGCACTGGCTCTGCAACTTCTACCATCTAGGAGATCTTCTTTCCTTGGATTGGAGACGATTATCAGATTCTATCGGATGGTCGATCTGTGTTTTCGTTGAATGGTACAATGTCATCAGTCACAATCCGAAAATTTTCAGCTGACTCGCAAATTTAAGGCAAGTTATAGTTATGTAATTGATTTTCTTTAGTTTTATCTGGGTGGTTAAAGATGCGGGTCAAAATAAACATTCTTGTAATCATCTATTCAGAAATTTCTTATTGCACCACGAATTTTATGGACGTTAATCTCATGAACCAGAACCAGTCTCAAGTCTGTCTTCTATAATCTATTGCACCCAAAACATTCTGTTTTATTCCTGCTTTTATCATTATTTTATTTGTAGGCAAATTATAATGGTTTGGTTTATTTTATTTTTTACGGCATATCTACCTCAATGGGTTATTTAATGCCGACAACATTTTTAGGATAGATTCGTATGAATATAATATGTATTCTTTGATTTAGATTGGTTTGGTTTATTTTGTTTAACGGCATATGATCCTCAATGGGTTATTTTTTCCGACAAAATTTGTTATTGCTGGTAATATTTTGTTTTGTCAAAAATCTGTTTCTGGTAATATTTTTCTTTCAAAATTGTGTTGCTGGCAATAATTTTTTTAAAAATGCTGGTAATAGTTAATTATTTGCCCATAGCTGGGACCCCAACAAGTGCCACCACCACGGGTCAGGGCTGACCTGAGAACAACAGCAATCAAGAGGTGGTTCCATGCTCCTCAAAACCTCCAGATCAGATGCCCTACTGCCGGATGCGGTTTATCGTCTTACCCAGGACGCGCAAATTATAATGGAGATGAAGAAAACCAGTCGACTGGCTATCATGTCATCAATAATCTCCATGTAATGAGTGAAGAAAATCTTCTCCGTGTATAAAATTATTGTACAATAGAAACACTTTTTGTGCTTTTATTTGTAAATAATGACCGATATTTCGAAGGGCTAACAAGCGGATATTATGTTTACTGGTGAGAGCTGGAGAATGTAAAACGTAAGGATGGCGCTGAAAAAAAGGAAATGAGTTTTTTTTTATGTGTACGCGGTGGGGAGAAAGAAATTAGGAGTAGACTTGAAAAGAGATGAAGGGGAAAAGAAAGAAAGAAAGAAAGAAAGAAAGAAAGAAAGAAAGAAAGAAAGAAAGGCATTATAATGGAAAAAATGCATATCAGATAACAGAAAAAAGAATAAGAAAGAAATAAGTATAGGAATAAAGAAAATTTAAAATAAATAAAGAAACGGAGAAATTGTTCAAATGATGAAGTCAGAAATTGACTAATAGAAAATACAATAGAGATATGGTGACGGAAAGTTATTGTAAAGAAAGAAAGAAAGAAAGAAAGAAAAGAGAAAAAAGAAAGAAAGAAAGAAAAGAGAAAAAAGAAAGAAAGAAAGAACATAAAAACGTAAAAATACAGAAAGAAAAATGAGAAAGATAAAAGAAAAAGTAAGGAAAATAGAATAAAAACGAAAAAAGAAAATGGAAAAATAAAAAATACAGAAAAAATTGACTAACAGAAAAGAAAACACCAGGGAAAATTGAATAAGAAAGAAAGAAAGAAAGAAAGAAAGAAAGAAAATAAAAATACAGAAAGAAAATTGAAAGAGATAAAGGAAAAGTAAGAAAAATGGAAAGAGAACGAAAGAAACAAAGAGAGAAGATGGAAAAATAACAATTACCGAAAGAAAATTGAAAATATTAAAGGAAAGCAGTTAGGAAAATACAATAAAAAAGAAAGTAACAAAGAAAGAAATGGACTCAGAAGGAAAGGAAAGAAAATGGAATAAGAAAGGAAAAGAAGAAAATAGAAGAAAAATAAATTTGACAAAAATGAGAAAAGTGAATGTATAAAACATTACAAATCATAAAACAAGAAGAAATTAAAAGCAACAATGAAAAATAAAAAGAGATCCAAAAGAATTTAATGGAAGAGAAAGAAAATATTACAAGGAAATCCTTAAAATGAACAGGATAAAAGATTTTAAGAAAAAAGTAATGGAAAGAATAAAGCAAAAGAAAGAAACTTGAATTTCCATGTACACAGAAGATCGAATTACGTTAAAGAAATTCAGACAACCGCGCGAGAGACAGAAACTCTTATAAATAAGATTGGGAAATAATATTTTTATAAAAACATAAGAAAAGAACAAAAGTGCCTTAATGATTAAATGCATTGACAATTGTTGCACATTGCTCCATCCATACTGCAACATCTCCCCTGTCGTTATTTGAGACTTGTAAGATTCTTTTATTTGGTTTATGTTATTCGCTTCAACAACATCAACGATATTAACATTTGCTCTTGGCTAATAACGATCGCAAAATAATTTCATTAGTAGAAAGGATATTAAGTTAAAAGAAGTGACGTATATGAAAACAAGTATACAATTGACTTGTTCAAATTTACTTGCAAAGAAATGACGAACTTGAAATGAAACCGTTATTGACTAATTCTATGCAAACAGCTTTGATAACTAATTAATTGAGTCTTTCTATAATATTACGCATATATATATATATATATATATATATATATATATATATATATATGTGTGTGTGTGTGTGTGTGTATGTGTTTGTGTGTATATATATATATATATATATATATATATATATATACATTGGAGAAATAGTATGACAAAATGGAAAACGTTTCCTTTTGAAGCGTTTCGTTCTTCTGGACGCCAAGGGACTAAATTTAGTCATACAATTTTCATGCTAGGCGCAATCGTCAAGCGGCCTGACGATTGCGCCTAACATGAAACAGCCTGTCGCCTTTAAGTGTTGACTTCAATGTTCACTTTTATATTTATATTTACATACGCTCTAACTCTGATATTGAGCACTTTATCCCATAAATATAGCACACCTTAAAACTATATTTCTTCATATATATATATATATATATATATATATATATATATAATAGCAAATCCGTAGGTGATAGAGATTATTCCATGGAGGTCTTTTTTTCATATAAAAATATTAAAATTTAGCTGCATAATGAGAGCTCAATGCATACATTTATATACAGAGCAATATAAATTAATTATAAGAAAAAGACTTAAACAATCATCATATAATCGGTTATAAGTTATATGATTAATATTAGATTATTTTCCTTCTTATTTACTTTTCAGTTTCATGCTTCAAGAATCATCAGATCCTAAATAAGTACTCCTTTCGCGGGCTGTATGTATAAGTCACTGGGCTATTAAATAAATTCATAGAAAGAGGAAAATGTCTCTTACGAGTTCATTTGATTAAATATAGTGCTTTAGGTTATTTATAAAAATGACCTTCCTTTATTTTGTTTATGTGTTTTAATAAGGAATCATCATACACCTATATGTATATACACATACTCGTGTATACATAAATATCCCCCACACACATACTTCCTGTGTTCGTTTGTAGTAGTCTATCTGTTTTTGCCAGTGTATGTATAGGAAGACATCTCTCATCAACACATTCATCATCATCAAGTCTCATATTAAACCTAAACGTTTTATTAACATTTAGGCAGAAATTCACTTTTGCGAACAGTCCAGAAAGGCTCACTAACAAATACAGAAACAAACAGGGAGACATTAAAAGAACACATGGAAAATTTATTCCTTTTAAAAATTAATTCTTTGTACTTGCCTGAAGAAGGTCACGGATACGGAAACTCGTGTACCAGAAGTATGAAGGATAATATGTATATACTAAAAACAAATCCATGTTATAACGAAAAACGTTTGCGGCTTCTCTTTTAAAATATACATTTTTCTCTTGTTGGAACAACCATAAACATTTCCCTATATATATATATATATATATATATATATATATATATTCAAGTTCATTTTCTCCAGCAAGACATCCATTTCTGTAGTTTACTGTTACCAGCAAGCCGAAATATTTCCCCTCCTGATGATGGCCATTTTTGGACCGAAACTAGTCGAGGAATCTAAATGAAATAATAATAATAAAAAAAAAAACGAAAGAATATTAATCTACAACCCAGTGTGTCTGAAAATTTTATTTTTTTATTTTTTATTGTTCAAAATATATATATATATATATATATATATATATGACTCTCCCGTCGAATTCAACGTATAAGTGTCAATCAGATCAGTTCCTAAGAAACCGACAGCCCGACAACAGCACATGAGATTATAGTGGTGAAGGTTTTGTGCAGGAAAATCCACATTTTTGAAGGACCGAATACAGAGACCTGGTGCACTAGGTGCCATATATATATATTGTACATGCAAAAGAAAGAAAAATATGTGGCAGCACAAAATGACGCTTGAAAATGAAAGCTTTTATAAAATACGAACTCAGCTGAACTTAACAGCTTCTGCATTATTTTCTCATTAATTATTTCTCAAAATATTTTATACTTATTTCTCATAATATTAATAAATTTCCTCAGAAAAAGCCTCTAAAGTTGAGTCGTCGTCGTTGGCTTTATCTCGTACGCAAGAATTTATTTTTTTCTTTTCTGATCACTTCCTTTGTGACGATGGCGTTGTTGACTAAATTCACCACCAACATGCAGTTTCACGACTAAAAGCTTCCAGTTTCAGCAAAACCTGCTCCCGTAATATATTCGTTATCACCGTTTGGCATTGCGAGATTTGGTTGGAGACGAAACAAAATGAGAATTACCAATAGCGTGAATTTCTTTAAAGCCAGGAAGTGACGCACCCACTTGATTTCATGATTTTCATCTGCGGTACATATGGGATGGGGCATGTAGAATCCAGTTATGAAACAGAAACAATTATTTCAAGTGGCGCCTTCTGTAGTGTGTCCTTCATGCGTAGCCCTCTTCATCTGCAGGTTTAACCGTTGAGATCTGCTGTAATTGTCATCCGCTTGTTCCATCGTTGGGTGTCTTAGGGGTTGGTCACGCTTAGTCTGGGTTCTCGTCTTCGATCTTGCCGCCAAATGTGGCCCTAATAGGAGTTTAGAACTCCCAACGGCATCGTTTTCAGTGTCATAGTACCACACAAGCCTTGCCAACACGGCAAAGTGACCAGCAGTGAAGTGCACAAGTAGAATCGAACTGGTTACACGAGTGTTTGCATCAATGATATGATTATATCCACCACTCTGTGCTTTGTCCTTTATTATCTTATTTTGCCCGCAACAATATGACTTGCTCAGCAAATGTTCAGTTCTTAGGATTATCAACCCTAAGGGCCATACTAGCATTAGCACTGCTATAAAACCGTTTCTTCCAATGCTCTCAGTATTTCTTCGAGACGAATTGATGTTATAATTCTCACCTGGTTTAAGCTAAAATCACTGTGAAGCAAAACATCGACCTCTTGCTCCTGACTGCAGAGATAATAATGGACAACCACAAAAGAAATAACTGCACGATGTCTGGTCAACTAATAGTGAATCAGCCATTTGCAGTCGAATCGGCCGTTTTCATTTGTCTGCACTTGCGCCCAAGGACATTATTCGTTTGTATTCGATTTATCGTGTTCAAATACGGGACAGCTAAAATCCCTTAGCCCGACCAAAAAAATTACATATAATCATGAAAACGTATTTGAATTTTCACCGAAATACACTTTGCATATACTTTTGTGAGTTCTTTAACCTTCCTATCAATATTCGTAATTAAAATGTTGATTCTCGATCCTTTCAGGTCTCCCTCGTAATAAATATCTGGTTGTCTAAATTTAGCTAAAAGAAAGATACCTACATACATACATACATACAGAGACTGAATATATTTGGTTAATGCCCAACGAATGTCCTTTTCTTAAGTAACTTTTGTTCATTTCTTTCTATATTTCGGGCCATTTTCCTGGTTTCCGTTGTAAATCTGAATACAGATTGTCCGATCTCTGAGTAGTTTCGGCTTTCATAATGATAATACTAATGTCAGTATTCGCTGTTCCCTTATAAGGAAACATTCAGCATTATTTGGCTTTTGTCCGTTGGAATTTATCAAATCTTACACTTAAAATAATTTTTTTCTAGAAAAGAACTTTCTCAAGTCCAGCAGCTGTTATTGCTCTTTCCAGTAGTGAGGGTGGTTTCCTTCCTAACCTTTTGTTTTACATTTGTGGAAAGTCAACATTTTGATTATGCCATTATATTCTCTTCGAGTTACATGTGCTATCCATTTCATTTGTTGCTGCTGTTGAAAATCCAGACATGATGTTATTTATGTTATTTTGTCCAGTTTATTTTTTGTGATTTTGTAGCGCCAGTCTACAATATTCAAAAAAGGCTAATCTTAGCTAAGATCTACAGATTGCATTTGCTCGAAGCCATTTTTAACCATTGATTTGAGAAAGCAGTTGTACATAGCAGAGAATTTATTTATAAACGAGTTTGGTGCCATGCATGAGATCCATATGAAAGACATGACTTATAAACTCGAGATTTTAGAGTAATGATATGGTTTTGTAGGAATTTGCGGTGTTAAGAAAAACAATGCTACAGAAAACTATAATAATTATCAATTGCAATGATTGTTACAAAGAATACATCGGAGAAACCTCAAGAAATTTAAATAAAAGATTATATGAACACATATAAGTTTTACAGGATGAGTCAAAATTTTGTTAACAGTAGTATGAGAGGAATCATTTATTCAGTGTTTACTGAACAGACTCCACCTGTCCACCAGCACGATTGATGCACAAAAACCAGCGATCAACAATAAAATGTAATGCCTTGACACACATGTCACAGGGAATGTTTTATATTACACTTTTTTATTCTGTCCTTGAGTTCTTCGATGTCTAACATTTTTTGCGATACATGCGATCCTTTATCATACCCCATAACCAGAAGTCAACGGTGACTGTAAATGCTTGCTTACAAATGCTGTAAAGGT